GCTCAGGATGGAGTCCTGGGCCGGAGCGATATGTGACAGGACACGAGGACAGCAGCCAGCACGGGAAACACACTTCATTTCTTGGCAAGGGGAATCTGCAAATGTGTGTCCCCCACTTCCACGTCCTGCTGATTTCTCCCGGAGTCGGCTGTAATTATGGGGAGCAGCAGCCATCTGCTTGCTTCCATGGATGTTGCTAAGGCTACTGGAGGGCTGATTGATATCTGGTTACACCGGAGAGCAGCCTGAGTGGCAGCAGCTGACCTTCTTAGGAGTATCTGCGTTGCTCCTCACCTTCCCTCTGGCTTTTGCTGTGACCTTTGGATACAGATCGATCCCAGATTAGTGTGTGTTAACAACAAATACCCTAAAATTAGGATACAAGGAGACAAGTTCTGAAAAGGTTAGACAAGCTCGGGGCAAGTTAGTGCAAGACCTTGCTCACCGTGCTGGTGGTTGGTCTGTGTGGTCTGTTTTCCAAAAGTCTTTTCCAGTCCTATTGCCTATTATTCCAGAGCAAAACCTGGACAAAAAAACCTGGACAGCCCTAGGATGGGGGAGCTGTGGTGTGGCACCTGTGCCTTCTCAGCTGGGCTGCACAAAGCCCTGATACAGCCCAGGGGATGGATGAAAACTTATTTTTCTGGGCACTCCATGAACCCTAGGATGGGGAGCTGTGGTGTGGCACCTGTACCTTCTCAGCTGGGCTGCACGAAGCCCTGATACAGCCCAGGGGATGGATAAAAACTTATTTTTCTGGGCACTCCATGGAGTGTTGATGGAACCAGTACGTTTTGCCAAGCCAAGATGGGTAAGTGCATCCAGCTGTACTGGACTGGCTTCAGGTCATCAGTGACAGGCAAGGGTTTTCAGTGTCACTTGAACAATTATGTTGTCCTCCCCACTCCATTTACAAACTTTGACTGTATAAATATATCAGAGCATGCTTATGCAGTATATATATATGGTATGGAAGCTGTAGGCCATATAATGAAATAAATTTGTCTCTAGGCATTGTACCCAGCCATGTAGGAAAGCCTGTAGAGGACCTCACTGGTCATCAGCTATGAACTGGTTAAATACAAACTTTGATCCGTATCGTCAAAGGTAGTTTGTGCATCTTCACAATGTCTTCAAGTGTTCAGTAACAAAGAAAGCTCTGAGGGGGAAAATTAGCTGTGTCATGGGTGATATAAAGCTGCCTTGGTACCTGTAAAGTGCCCCAGAAATACAGAATTGAAGCAATGAACAGAAATGCTCAGTTAGAGCATTTTCCATACTTTATGTTAATCATTAGGGTAGAGCTGAAATTAGCTTTAATTGATATTAAGGGTTGAAAAAATGATTCCTCTGGAGAATGAGTCTCTTTAACCTTTAATGTTGCAGTAAATAAAATATCCTGTCAACATTTGTGCAACAGTAAGGGTTTTCCAAATTCCGTCTCTGTATGGTGAGCCATTCAGCATGCCCCATTCTCTCCATTACAGCAGATGTCAGCGCATAAATTCACCGACAGGTTTCCACATTTCCAAGCTATCTGTCATACCCTGGTAATTCCCCATGCTGGCTTGTTACTTGTAACAGGGAGGTGGAGAGAGGAAGGAGGGACGGTGAGAACTAACCAAATTCTGCACGCTGGCTTTTTCATTTGTGCCCCTCCTGACTCGTGGGCTTCTGATGCCGGAGTATCAGCAGAGGAGCTGTGCCTCAGTAGAGGGGAGGGTAAAAGGAGCAACGCTGCCTATTCTTCCTTTCAGGTGAAATATGCCTGAAAATGTTTCATTTTTCACTTTAAAGGCAAGGCGGAATTGCAAAAGACTTCAGTACTTTAGGGACACTTAGTTTGGTAATAGTCAGGTCATCCTTCTATCTGTCAGGGCTCAGCCTGGTATTGAAACACCTCATAACCGACTCGGTGAAGTGCAGGAAATATTCCCCCGCTGTAAGCAGGAAACCTGTTTTTCATCAAATCCATTTGATCATTGCAATCAACTGGAAGTCTTACATCATTTAGGGAAGTTCCTGTAACATGGATGGTTATTCTGCTATAGTTAATGGAGAAACAGAAAACAAATCTCCTCGCTTACAACCAGCTTTGTCTTTCATCAGGACTGATACAATATCACGGGGTATATATCTCCTTTGGAAAGTTCTCAGCAAGCCTTTGTGCATAAAGGGGAATATATTTCTGCATACTTACAGAAGCCTTCCTGAGTGGTGTTTTACCGGGGTGTGTGTCCGCTACACTAGCACGGTGACTGGACAAAAACTTTTCTGATGAGACAACGGTTGTAAAACCTTTGAGAAAAGCATAATTATTAAAATGTTGATGTGCCATAGATTTTCTTCATTCTTCCTTTTTTTTTTTTTTTTTGGTCTTCTTGCTTAGAGTTTGGGAGGATTTAGGGGAGGAATTGAAACAGAAGTCTCCCTAAAATTAATTTATTTCTGTTGTACTGTGTTTGGAAACTCTTTCCTCTGCCAAAGACCCGGCTGCCTTGGGACAATACGATGTCCCAGGCCTGCCAAGGGTGTGTTGAAACAGTTGAAGGAATCAGGAAGGTCTGGGTAAATTACATATGTTTTATCAATGTAAACATTTGAAAGTCAATTTAATCAGTAATAGGTCTGGTTTAAAGAGGAAATGACCAAACCAGTGAAAACAAATCTGATGAATGTCCAAGGAGCAGAACCAGCGGACTCCTGGCCAGGTCACATCCATTTCGGAGGGACGGCCGGTGAAGCAGTGGAAAGTGCTGGGAATGGTGGAGGCAGCCCCTATAAGCGAAGTAATTTTATGGAGTAAAGACACAGAGGATCTAATTTTCTTCTAGAAGACTCATTACCATGATTTTGTTACACATTATTTATGGGCTGTTATGATAGTCCTGGCAGGTCATAATTGGCTGAAGCCAGAGAATTAGTCACATTTTTCACATTCAGAAGGATGATCTGTACAGTTACACTAATGACTTCATTCCCGGAGATGCCACGGGCTGGGCAGGGACTGCCTGTCCTGGGCTGGGGTAGGATTAACCCTTTCTGCTTCTGAGCACCATGTGAGGGCACTCGATTTTGACCATGAGAAACCACAATGACTTTTCTTTATGTCAAAGCAGCTGTTTGGCCTGCAATGACTTGCTGCTTTCACAATGTTTTCACCTTTCTTTCCTCTTCCTTGAATTGGGAGTTAGTTTTGCCTAGCCCTGTTTTTCTATGGGGAAAATATTTTTTTTTCACTAGTCTATCTGTGCAGGGGCGTTGCACCCTCTCCATCAGAGCTGGCTGCTGCAACGGTGGGACTGGCCCAACCCTTCCACTGAAGGCTTTCAACCCCTGTTAAGGGATGAGAAAGGGCTTTATTGGCAGCACTTGTAGCTGCCTTTCTGTGTACATAGCAAAACCCAAACAATTTATCACAGATGATGAATCAGAAGGGAGCACTATAATTGTTTTATCTGCCTTTTGGGACAGCACAAGCTGCTAACTCTTGAATTAGAGCCTGGTGAATGTTGCTGTGTCTTCCTGAAAAATGGGCAGCTTTGATTTGGGGATTTCCAGTGTTTGGGAATCCACCACACCATTGACTGTCCCCTCCCAAACTCCCTAATTGCTTTTGTTAAAGAATGGACATTAATCTTGAATAAATTTGTACTGTGTTGGATTGTAGCTCTTGGGTCACGTTGCAGTTTTATCTGCTCGACTAGAAAAAAGCATGGGGCCATGGGAGAAAATTACAGACGATGATTTGGAAGATGTTACCTTGGAGTGAAGGATGCCAGGAGAAAGTTAAAGGGCAACTGAAGCTGGTTTTCAGCTTTTCTAAAAGCCTTTCCCATTTTACTAGCATCCTTCTTGGTTTGTAGGTGCCAGGACCAGCCCAATACACTGGGGTTAACTGGTGTGTGACGTTCAGGTCCAGGAGAAACTCCCACCTGCCTTTTGATATTCTCTGTTTCTGTGGTCAGGGATGGCACAAGTCCTTTGGTCAAAGCATCACTCTGATGGCAGGACCCAGCCCATAGGGCACAAGCTCTGGAGCAGTTCAAGAGCAAAGCAGCTGGCAGCAGGATAACATCCCACCATGGGGAATGCATAAATCCCATCCCTGGCTCTGGGAGGAGGCCAGGCTTGGCTACAAGCTGTGTTCAGAGAATTTCTCCAGGAGCAGTGGCCCTCCTGCAGTGCTGTCACCACCTCCTGCGAGTTGCTCCTGCTGCTCTTGAGAAGCCATCCCCTGTCTCTCCAGCACAGGAGAGGATCGGCCAGTGCTGAACTGAAGCAACCTCTTAATCAACCTAAGAGGTGGGAGTTACATGTTTGTAAAATACTGTATAAATGGGAGGGTTTGATCGCAGTAAATGAAGGATCAGATTCATTAAATTAAGTGGAAAGCAATGTACATGGATAATTTCAAGGGTTGAGGCTGAATATGGTTTTCAAATAGGAAGTGATCAGCCACTATACACAACAGAGAGCAGCTCTCAAACATTTTTAATGACAGTATTTGTACACACTTTAGTTTAATTAACACATAGCACAAGAGAGGTTTGGTAACTAGGATATAGTCTCACACCAGTTGCCTCAATTATAACACATGAAATTTCAGGCATCGGTACACCAAGAAGAACCGTCACCTGTCCCTGCCCAGCAAGGTCTGGCAATCTGAATTTCCATCACACCTTGTTTCTCTTGGATGCAACAGTAATTCCTTCTCTCCAGATGGAGAAGTCCCCTTAGAAGTGGATGATCAGCTTCTTATTTGGATTTATTTCTTGTTTTCTGCAATCAAAATTAAGGGGATGGTATATTGTCACTGCCCAGTGATCCACATTACATTTCTGACAGCTATGTTTATTAGTAAATATGTAGTAATTGCTTCCAGAATTAACTAGAGCCGCTCTTCTGTGTCTGTACGTGTAGGAGACATTTCCCAGGATGTGTGATCCCTTTGTTAGCACAGCACTCATTAGATGCTGGAGGATGGCTGCAGATGGGTTTTATGCCTTTGCAGGTGCGGTGTTGGTCCGGGGGACTACCTTCAAAATAATCGGTTTCTCTGGTCTTAAGAGTCCCCGTGTATTCAGCTTGAGAGGGATCTGTAACAATAAGAGGACAACCGCATTTGGAGATAAATAAGTAGAGATTAAAGGAAAGAAACATGGCCATGCTTTGGACATAAGCTGATGCATAGTGCCTGACAGCGTACCTCCCCCAAAAGTGCAAAGCAGCTGGTGTTACACCCACGGTGAGAAACCAGGCACATGGCTCTTTGTGCATGAGTTTTGAACCGCAATGTGTTCCTCACCTGTGTTTCTTTGCAGATCTGGAAGGTGAAATGTTGCAATAGGATGGTGATGGCAACTTTCATCGTCAGGAGAGCAAACCGCAACCCGAGGCAGTTCCTGGGACCAGCCCCGAAGGGCAGGTACGTGTATGGGTCTATGGACTCTCTGTTTTCCTTGTTGAACCTGGATGATGAGATAGTTGGGGGAAAGAAATGAAAGCAGCAGAAAACCAAAAAGCTACATATCTGTATTACTTATAGAAATCTCTTGCTGGTGCCCTGCAGAGACTTGTTGGTTTTTCCACTAAGATATCTTGGCATACCCCAGCAACCGAGTGCTGTGTCAGAGCCCTCGTCCAGGACGGGGTGGGATCCCCCTTCAGTGTTTGAGCTTAATTCTGTCAGAGCAGTAAAGTCAAGAGCAATGTGAAAATCTACATGCTCTCCCAAAACAACCGGTATTTCCTATCTGTTGTATTTAGTGAGAGAGAAAGTAGGCATCATCTTGGCTAGGAGCAGCCTATGGCTTCAGTCTTGCTGGGAATGAGAGGTAGACGCCAATTATAAAAATAACCAACCAAGGAAAAGTTATCATTTCCTTGAAAACAAGGAGGGAAGGCAGCTCTGGAAGGATAAACTCTGGTATTTTGTAGTAAAGACTGTGTGAAGGAAAGAGGTTCAGCAAAGATTATATGGAGAGATGGGTAGAGGCTACAAAAAAAGTCACTGCCTACCCACTCTCTGTCAGCAAGCCTAAAAATGTGTACAAGATGTTGTGAGGTATCGATGTTACTCTCCCAATAGGATTATGTTGTTTGAAACCCCGCTTTAAGTGCGAAGCTCATTTTCTTCTTAAAAGGACATTCCCATGAGCCTGCAATTTCTTATTGGTATTGTTTGTGAGAAGATATGAAGAACACCATTAGGAAGCTAATTAGAGATTAATACTTAATTACTATGTGAGGAAAAAGCAGCATATGTCTTCCCTTTCATTATGTTTTTTGTACCTTTCTGGTCTGAACTCTTCTGGGTTTGGCCAGTACTCAGGGACGCGGTGCAGGGTAGTGGGTGGGATCATAACAACAGTTCCTTTGGGAATGGTCACTCCATTTATTTCTACGTCTTTCTTGCAGACTCTCTCGAGCCGTCCTCCAATGGGGAAGAGCCGGAGGGTTTCATTCATTGCCATGTCAAGATATTCCAACTGCATGATTGCTTCATAAGTGAGAGGAGCCTGTAGGATGACAGGAGAAAGGTGACCAGGTATGTCGGCATCAGGATTGGATTTTCCTAAAATGACTCTTGAGACCAGAGTGTCCCCAGCCCCTTCTTCCCCAACCATGTCTCAGCCACACTGAAGGTAGAACACAAGGTAGAAATTGCATATTTGCATAATTGCATAATTGGTTTCATTTTCCATCCCTGATGGATGGCAATGCCTGGAAATCCACTTCCATTTGCACATGGGTGCAGAGTATGGCCAATATGTTTGCAGTGGGGTGTCAGCTGCCAAAATAATATTGCTACAGGGTTGAGTCATCTCAGTGCCCGCATCTCTTAGAGTTGTTGGAAGATCCCAGGAGGAGGGTGTTTAGGAGCTACAGATTTCTCCTTGTCTTGACTGAACAAGGAGGACAGCAGGGTTAGAGGGTCTTCACCATCACTCCAGGTCCTCTCACCTTGTTGGGTAAAACAGTGTCGATTTCATCCAGCAGCTTTTGCTGCACGTCGGGATGCGTGGCCAGTTCGTACGCCAGGTAACAAAGTGTGTTGCTGGTGGGTTCGTAGCCGGCAAAAATAAAAATGATGGCTTGTGCCAGGACCTCTACATCAGTCAGGGCTGTGGGGAGAGAGGATGTAGGCAGATGAGCAACACTGGTGCGTTGGCTGATGGTCTCAGCAAGGACGAGGTAGCAACGAGTGGGGTTGAGGCAGGTTTGTGGTTGTTTTCTGATAATGTATTTATAGGTATGCTGTTATCTGTCCAGAAAAAGTAATTTAATAGAGGAGCCAGATAATTTCCTGGGTATAAATTATGAACACAGCAGTACTCCTCCCTGGTAAAGGACTGGGGGGTTCCCCTTAGCCCTGGTGCTGGCAACAAGGGACAGATTTCTGCCTGGAGCTGGTCAGTGGGGGGACAGCGGTGACCCATTGAGCCTTTCTATGGGAAAGAGCTCCCTGTATTCTCCTTGGTCCCCCAGCCCCTGCCACTTCTCTAAAGTAACAAGTGATAGGACAAGAGGAAATGGCCTCAAGTTGCACCAGGGGAGGTTTAGGCTGGATATTAGAAAAAATTTCTTCACTGAAAGAGTGCTCAGGCATTGGAACAGGCTGCCCAGGGAAGTGGTGGAGTCACCATCCCTGGAGGGGTTCAAGAAACGTGTAGATGTGGTGCTTGGGGACATGGGTTAGTGAGTTAGGTGGTGTTGGGTTGACGGTTGGACTTGATGATCCTTGAGGTCTTTTCCAACCCTTATGATTCCATGATTTGGATATTGTTACCTTTATGTAAGTTATTCTCTTCATTGCCGTTGTGACTGGCTGACTTCTGGGATTCGATCATCAGCTGCAGAAAATCTACTCTGCCCTGAGAAGAAAAGCAGGAGAGGTTCTTTGGTGACAGGTCCCTCAGGGAGGGCTCAGATAAGCAAATGTTATAGCCTAAGCACCATTTTCAAACTGAAAGCATCCCTAAAATGCAGATTATTTCCTTGTAAAGCAACACACTTGCATTTTATTTTGGAAACTTATCTGTCCTTTTCATGAAGCCATTGGCTGGGAGAGCAGTGTCTCAAATGAATTTCAGGAAAGGGATTCAAACTGTAAGAGGGAAAATTTTTCCAGGAAGCAGCTTCAATTTTTGAAAACAGAGGGGAAGGCACAACCCTGAAAGGTGGTATTGCTGCTTACTCTGTTCTCTTATCCTCTGCCTAGTCTTCTTCAGAGTGTCTCTGACTTATTACAAGTTCTGCAACCCCAAGCTTAATGCAATTCTACCAAGCCTTTATCTGGATTTAACTTCAGATCATGGATGTACAAAGTCCACTTGCTCCTCTGCCAGGGCTGGTCAGGTAAGGCTTTACTGAGAGTATTAAAATCAGGTGTTTGCACTTCAGCAGAGTTGGGGGTTTTGTTGAGTCATTGTACTTTGGCTTCAGCCTTGATATCATCACCCTAATTATATTTCATTTAAGTGTATTTTCTGCCACAATTGCAAGCAAATTCACACTTGTTTACCTTGTGAGCATCCTTTTCACGATCCTGCTTAATTTTGGCAACTGATCTCATGAAGAAATCTACAGCGCTGCTGTTGAATATGTTCATGTTCATCTTGTTGAAGAGAGGAACAGTGAATGGACATATAACTGAAAAAAAATTGAGACCAAAATCACACACTGTAAACAAACTCCACCTGATACAAGATAGTTATGGATGTTACCAAGCAAGTAACAATGCTACTGAGAAATTTGCCTTTTTTCCTCTTTCTTGGGATGGTTTGTCTTGACACAACCCTCTCCCAAGTTCGTGTCAACTGGGCACAACTGAGCTGGGTATAATCTTTGCTTTAAGAGATGACCAAAGCATATGCCACCTGCTTTTTCTAAGGCACTGCTTTCTAGGGACAGGTTCTTTCTGTGCATTATACAGCACTATGACAGGCTCAGAAGAGAAATATTGAAAATTCCAAATTCTGCTTTCACGCTGAGCTATTTGCTGGCATGCTATGCTCATGTAAACATTTTCAAGTCCACTTCAGAGCATTTCCTTCATTATAGAGAATGAACCTTGAGTTTGTGTATAATCTAATCCTAAAATCTACAGCACCAGAATAGAGGAGTTATGCACAGATCACACCTTTCCATGTGTTTTAGCAAAGTATCTAATCTTGATTTCAGGTTGCAAGTGATTTAAGGTCCATCACCATCACTATAAGCTCTTGCACTGCTAGGAAATGGCATCGAATTTCAGCACCCACTCGGCACACTCTGCCAGAAAATGCATTTCAGATAACACCACTCTCCTCAAGCCCTACAGTTTCAACCATCGAATCATTTTCCAGCACTCATTTGGATATTGGCTGGGATGTTGAAAGAGGGGAGATTTAGATGAGATGTGAGGAAGAAATGTTTTCCTGTGCGGGGGGTGAGGCAGTGGCCCAGGTTGCCCAGAGAAGCTGTGGATGCCCCATCCCTGGAGGGGTTCAAGGCCAGGCTGGATGAGGCTTTGGGCAACCTGGGCTAGTGGGAGGGGTCCCTGCCCAGCTAGGGAAGTTCTCTAAGCAATAGTTGGTTGGTTAATGTACCAGTCTGATATGCTTGCTAAAGTCCTGTTTCAATAGTACTCTGACACTTGAATGAAGTTTTCAACAAAAAAAAACGTCATTTACATGTCAAGAGAAGGACTGGGTTAAAAACATCAATCTTGATGAACTTCTGCATCTCTCTGACAAAGGGGTCTTTGGGGTTGTTCATGGAGTTGATGTTCACACCGAATGAAGTGCTGGTGACCACATCCATGCTGTAGCATCCAAAAATGCTGAAAAAAAAGATGGAAAAGATAGACTGTGGTTAAATATTTGGACCAAGTGAATATATTTTTTTTTCCTAATGCCTACGTGACATTCAAATATCAATCTTCGTAAGAACTTGTGCCCTGGTTTTGAAAAGGAAGTTGGATATATGGTAACTGTAAAGCACTTATAGAGAAAAGGATAGATTTTTAGAGAACTTTAGTTTCAAGCCTGCATGGATTTTGAAATTGGACAGCTTTCCTGAGGATTTTAAAACAGCAGGTAGCTACATGAGCAGGCTAGTGCCAGGGACAGCATGAGGCTCTTGAGCATTTCAGCTTCTTGGGGAAGGGTGGTAACGCACCCTGCTTCAAACATGCCATGAAAATGGTCATCTTCAACCCAGCACAGGCACCTAGAATGGTACAAACTGTCCAAGCCCTCTCCTTATGGGGTTTTTGGTAGGGGAGAGCCGCACTGGTGTGTGACTACTGGTGTGAAGCTGCATCTCTGACGCATCTGATGCTTTCTGCATCTCTGCTTTGATCTGGGGTGAAATACAGAGGTTGCAGAGCCTGTGTAGAGGGCACGGGTGAGGACATCACACCCAGAGCCACACTACAGCCTTTCTTCCCACTCCTCCAGCAATGGGGCAAGTGATGGATGGGCATCCCACAGTGCTGTGTGTTGGGCAGACAGGCCAGCAACCCCAGTGTCCTGTGATACAAGAAGGTGGTGCACAGAGATCCTGAGTGTATGGGGAGGAAACCCTGGTTTTGCAGTGGATTTGGGGTTATCTTGAATCTGTGGATTCACAAAGTTGTGCTGGAGCATTTCCCCCCTCCCCCAATTCCCCACGGAAGGCTTCTTTCTGGGTCTCTGACTGTAGGAAGGTTTGCTAACATCCCAGCTTAAATTTTTTTTCAAATTTCCAGCAAGGCTTTCAGCTAGCCCTGTTCCTCATTTCAGAAGTCTGGTTTACCCAGCAAGCGCTCTGTTGCCAGTAACGAATGAACTGCAGCACTTTGCTAACAAGGCTTGCTGCTTAGCCTGCTGCTCCTAGAAGCTACTTACTCCTTTACAGATAGAGTGTTGTCCTTTTCCAACTTCTTTTGAACATTTTCCACCAAAATTTCCCCATAGTGCTTCATTATAGGGAACATCTGTAACACAAACCAGAGATGGTCAGCTACGTCTAGTACATTTTACTCCTTTAAGACAGGCTTTTGAAGACTACAGGCAGTTTCATCAATATTTACAAATAAGATCTTTCAGTCTCTTTTTCTTGTTTGTTTTAAATTGGGTATAAATGAAACAGACCAGCTTAGCTGCCAGGCTCTGGCTAAGGAAATCAGGCCCCTGTGACAATCTCAGCCTGGAATCGCTGTCTACTGACTTTCTGATTTAGTTTGTTCCAGCTCCTCTGTGGTTTACCTCCTTTAGTTTCCCACTGGTGAAGGTTGGAGAGAGCACAGTACGAAGCCTTTTCCACTGCTCATCTTCAGCTATTGACACAGCATTCCTCAGCACCCCGACTGGATCAAAACGCTGGGGGGGAAGAAGGCAAGATGTTAACACCAGAAAAGGCAGTGGTTTCCCTGCAAGGATGGGAATGTAGGATGCAAACCCCTCCCCAGGCTATTTCAGGGGCATCACTCCTGGCAGCAGGTTAAGGTTTTACAAACAGCCTCTCTCAAGACACACATACATAAATAATCCCTTTCCCTGCAGTAAACCAGCTGTGAGATCTCCTTTTCAGATCCAGAGCAAGTAACCCAACGAGCCCAACAGCCGTATGTGCGTGTGTACCCCCATCATGCCGCCCAGAGCCTGCATCCCAGCTGGGGGCGGACCCACACGTTCACACAGGCTGCAGTTCATCCCTATAGATATCTATATATAGATACACATATACATATATAGGTGTGAGAGCAGAATTTGCTGATGTGCAGGCAAACAGCTTCCTCTGGCAGCCCAGGTCTGCGCTCCCCAGGCTGTAAGGCAGGGGAACAGTGACATACAGTGGCCATTGACAGTAATCCCCACAGTGCCGTCACTTGTCCCTTATGGAAAACCCTGCTACACGCTTGGCATGCTTGTCTCCTCCTGCACTTTGGGTTTTTTTTGGACTCTGTGGTACATCACCATGCTTTCCCTCTTACCCTTCGGTTGGTAAAGGTGGAGTAACACTCTTTAACCAGCACAGATTTAATGATCTGGGGGTCCATGATACCCAGCACAGGTTTCCTGCCATCATAAATCCTGGTGGGGGGAGAAGAGGAGATGGATGAACAACCCCAGATATTTGAACCAAAAGGCTTGGCCCATGAAACAAAATGTGTTAAATGCATGCTCATCCATCACCAGCCTTGCTGTTCTGCAGATGCCTAAGTACAGAAATGTAGAAATTAGAGATGGAAAAGGACTCCTAGGACTTCTCCCATCTGGTTTTGTAAATGATAAAGGGGGTTAAACACCTTCCGAATTCACTGGGAAATGAGCGGGGCTCAGTCCCTCAAAGGAGCAGATACTAAATGAAGCAAGTGTCTTTGCTTTCTCCCCTGACTCTGGGTTTTTCCAGGCACTTAAACACATTACGGTATTAGAAGGAAACTTGTTCGACCCCTTTCAGGCTCTTGAATTGGGTGTCTGGAGACTTGGGCAGACAGCACTGAAATATCCTTAGAGATGAAACTCAATCCTTGTTTTTGTCTTTTAAGCTGCCAGTTCTGAATGCTTTCCTGGAAGAGATGCAGATTAAGCAGATTTACACACTTTCCCTGTTTATGTAGAGATCTCTTTTCCAGACTCCATTTTTTAAAGTTGCTATAGGGACTAATGGATGCATTATAGAGGATATGCACAAGTTTGTAGCTCAAGCTGTAAAAGCAGCAATAAAAGCCGTAGGAGATGTCCAGAGCAGAGCAGCTATAGCTGCACCAGCTCCTATCACAGCAGGTAAGGACCAGTGGCATGAGGAAGTCCGCGGACTTTGGATCTGCTTTTTCTCTCAGTGTTGGGAGTTGCTCGCATTCCTCTGCTGTTGGTAAACCAGAGGGACTCAACCTCCCAGTTCCAGTTTCTCCCTTAAGTAAATAGTAGTTTTGCTGTTGGTTTTGTTAGGAGCAGGTGAGCGCCTTTTGTCACTGGCTGTACAGGGGCTTTCATAGCGCAGGGCAGAGCCATTGCCATATAGCATGACAGCGGCACAGCCGTGCAATCATCAGGATTTAATGCAAGGCACCATGCACACCCCATCATTGCTGTACTTGTCCTGCTGGGATCATCAGGGGTGCAGGTAGAGAGAAGGGAGCTTTCCTAATGATTTTTTTTCTCCCTTTTGTATGGATTCTGGTTTTATCTTACGAAGAGGTCGGTGGTTCATACTCACCCCCAGATTTTCCCATATTTCTCGAAACATTCATTGTCAAACTCCACTAAACCCTGTGGAAAGCAATTTGAAAATTAGCGAGGATGCAGCAGAGGGAATGATGTTAGAGATGGCGGGTCAGGAGGGATATTTGTAAACTGATGTTCAGAGCTGCCTTCTGAGTTCTCCTCCTTTCCAAAAAAACATCACGAATGCATAAATGTATATCATGTTTGTGAATGAGCCGTTTGCCAGGCCCCTGGCAAAGGGCAGCTGTAAATCATCCACCCGCGAGTGCTCGTTTGGAGATACTGCAAAGGCAGAGCCCCGTGGTCTGTGTTACTGAGCCCTTATCCCACGCTGGCCTTTGCACGACCGGTGCGTTATGGTGGAGCTTGGCATTTGGAGATAACTTATCAGCACCATGTATCTGTTATAGCTACAGCTGTACGAGCAAGTGGATATTTCCAGAGCCAGGAAGGCTTCTGGCACTTACTTTGCGATAGTGCAGGCATGTCCCGATGAAAGGCAGGGGTTTTGGCCCAGGAATACCCAACTTCTTGAAAAACCCAAATGGCCAGGTCCCATATCTGTGGGATAGAAAAGACAACCAAGTGCTACATCACCATGGCACTGGGGCTGCGAGTTCTCCTAAATGGGGAGGCTGCAGCGATGTCCCTTTGGCTCTAAGTAGAGGAGCTGATCCAGGAGCTGGAAAAAAGTGTCCCAAAAGACAATTGTCATGTAAAAACTACTTAGTAAACATGGTGAGGCTCACTGCTGCCAGACAGAGCTTCAGAGAGATGGTTTTGACGTAAAAGCAGCTCTCTCCTAAAGGCATAGGTGCTCTGGTGGAAGCAGGACCCTAAAGCCTTGAGCAAAAGTCAGGAGAGGAGCTCTTTGGCAACCAGAGGAGAGGCAGAAAATGGAAGAAGGAACACTAAGCTTGCATGTTTTTATTGAAGAGAAATCAAAGCACTGCCAGAAGTGGTGTCCCAAACAAGGTTTTTGTTGAGCTGTACTTTAATTTCATTTATTGTTCTCCCCCCCCCTTGGCCCGGCATTAGCTCAGTGGTGCATCAGGAACTCTTGTCTTGATGGTTTTCTCTTTAGATTTTATTGACAGCTTTGCAGATTTCTTTCCTCTGAAGCACCCTTTTTGGCAGCTGTAAAGTTATTACTTCTACCTCGGGGCCTTCTGTTTCTCAACAAGGGCCTGGGCTGCAGCCCTTTGAAGCTTGTCTTTGGCTGTGTTGAAAGAGCTCCTCAAAATATTTGTTTTTAGTTAGTAGC